TTTATTATGAATTATGTTGTGATTCACGCCGACGATCTTCAGAGATACAATTTTTTTTTTTTTTCCGATCAATTTAATCTTATTTTTCTTCTCCGATTCCTAGCCGAAGAACCCCCGATGACGAGTTAATTAGACTGCCCCTTTACATTTTTCCCAGTCTTTGTTCTGTTTCATAAGGCTTCTCTTGATATGTATCATTGAAAGTTTTCTGGGATTGGTAAAAAATGGGCTTTTTTGGGAGATATAGATCTGTATATATATTTTCTGTGCTTGTATTTTGATTCATCCTACTACTCTGTGTTCTTTTATTTTGTCTTGTTGATGGTGATATGGTGCTAGAGACTTCTTAATCTTAATCTCACAATAACATGACAATTAGTTTGGGTCTTTCAGTATTTGCCTGTTCCCTGCATTCTTGATTCAAGTTATGGGTTTAGCGGCACTTGTACTTGAACGTTTCCATATTTATAGGTACCTCTGAGGATAAAATCCAACTGCAACAGTACACGCAGAGAGCTTCCATGCCTCTTCCAGTGTATCGATGTTCCGCTGAAGGAGAGCCACATGCGCCTCGATTTAGCTGTCGAGTGTGGGTGGATGGCACTTGCTTCACGTCCCCAAATTCATTTCCGAATAAAAAACTAGCGGAACAAGATGCTGCCAAGCATGCGCTTATCGGCATCCTTGAAAAAGTGAAGAATGAGGTTCCTCAACGTGTTACTGAGGTTGGTTTGGCTGCAATCTATTTTGATTAATCTTTTGTAAATCTTGGTAGGGATTGCTATTTGTTGCATTGTTATTGTGTTTGTGTGTGTGTACATTCTCATTTAATTCATCCATAGGAGTAAAGTATCAATTATTTTGCTGCTGCCTGATTATATCTTTAATTTTTTGTTGTCTGATTTAGTATGCACTTAAACTATTCATGTGGCTGTATGAATGCTAGAAATTTTTATATATTGAAAAAAGTTGGTAGGTACCCATTTTATATGAACATTTTTTTTTCTCTTCAAGTTCTTTAGGTTTTGGAATGCTTCGAAATGTGTTCTTTATGTATTAATTTTCCATCTTCCGCTTATTATGGCCTGTATGGTGGTTTTGAATCTGGATACAAGTATTTTCTTTTCTTTTCTTTCTTTTTTTATTATTATTATTATTATTTCCGGTTCTGTTGGAATTTCTGACTTCACTTTTTTCACTTTCCTGTTCCTTGCTTCTCATTAATTTTCTCAGAACATACAATTTTGCAAGTCCATCCTCCATGAGTATGCTATGAAGATGAATATGACACAACCTATCTACACAACAAACGAAACACGGACCATTATTCCCGTGTTTGTCTCGACTGTGGAATTGAGCGGTGCTACTTACGTGGGCCAGCCGGGCAAAAATAAGAAAGAGGCCGCACAATTAGCAGCCCGCTCGGCTATTTTATCGATTTTAGGTTACTTTTCAATCACAAAACTTTGATACCATCATCATATACCTCTAATTGAAACACATTTGTTCCAGGCTCTGGATCCAGCAGCAAAATGTCTGAGATAGTCAGATCAAAGTTCGCATTTTACGACAAGGTGAAGGATGCCAAAGACTTTCCTGTGTCCCCACATAATGAAGCTATACCAACTGAATTAAAGCCTGCCGAGCAAAACCAAGTTCATAGTCAAGGGAACTCGAAAATCCCACTTTCGAACTCGTTGGTCCTAGTGGGATCGGAACTACCTGTTCTGAACGTGCTTCCTGAGTCCATTGTTGGACCTTCCGATTATGCCCTCGAAGACCGTCCCACACACGTGTTCAAAAAGCTTAAGGCACAAGAAGATTTAACGCCGTCAGAGGTTGCTCCACTGATCGAATATTGTCCTGCAGTTTCATCGGCTCCCGTGCTTCCTTGCATTGAGTTCGTGCCTCAAACTTCCGAGCAAGGTCCCACATGCGCGAAAAAGAGGAAAGCCAAGAACAAAAAGAAGAATCAGCCCGTGTAAGCATTTTCACTGTATGTTTATTTTTTATTTTTCAATTTTTCTTATGTTCAGTTGTGGAATCAAGATTGTTCAGTCTTTTTTCGTTTACTGTATGTGCCTGTATTTGTCCTTCAGGGTGTAAGATATAGAAGTATCTCAACTGGAACTGTGTTATGTACAGTGATATGTTATATTTATATCTCATTTACTCTACTCCAAAGCTACCTTGATGAACTTGTGAGTATGTGGGGTGGAAGCAAGTGCCAAATTTGGACCCGTGAGGGTTTATTTGAACATAATACATGAATATGGTTTGTAAATTGCTGCTCAACCCAACGGCTATAAAAAAAACTGTAATAATCAGTATAGAGCTTAAGCTTATGGCTGAACCATGAATCCACGAGTTCTTGCATGTTATTTGTAGGAGTCGCATTTATTTTATATAGTTCTCGTGTCTTGAGCATTTCTTACGTTCTTAATATTTTGACAATTTCTGCAAAAATTCCTCAAAGTTCGGCCCAACTTATTCGGTCGGTCGCCCAATAAGCATCTAACTTGTGCTCGATAATCATCCAATTGGAGAACTATTCTGTGTTTATTTTGACAATGTCTCATTTACTGCAAATGGTTTCATCTTCATACTACTTTAGTTGTCCACATCTTGCTTTGTAATATGTTTACTTTTCATAGATATTATAGTAATACTTATTTTTGTTTCACAACATGCAGGTCTTAGAGCTGGTTTTGTCACCAAATGCCTATCTGTGAGATTTTCCAGTATACTCGTTTGGGCTTAAATTGGGCTATGTAATAAACAGTAGACTCTGTAAGTGACCTGTTAGGTATGTGCATCTGTGTCTAGTTTGATGCTTTATCAACTGGCTTATCTTTCCTTTATTGGCTATATTTAAGACTATCTTTCCTTTATTGGCTATATTTAAGAGACTATATTTAAGACTATCTTTCCTTTATTGGCTTTATTTAAGTTATATTATTATTAATATTGTTATTATTATTATTGTTATTATTATTATTATTATTATTTCAAATCTTTAATAAGTTAGTATTTAGCCGAATGAAAAAATATATATAAACTTTTCAAAAAGTGTTTTGGGTATAATATCATTTATACAAATTAATTTATGATAGGTATGATAAAAAATTTAAGAATTATATTTAAGTAATTTGAAATATAAATTTTAGATTGAGATAGTTTTATCTAAAATATACTTGTAGAAGAATAATAATTATGAATTATTATAATTAATATATATATATTGCAATTTAAAATTGTTTTGAATTAATTAAAAGATATGAAAATTACTTATTCTAGGTACGTTGAACCTAGACAATTGTTATCATACCCTAAAGTTTACTTATTTGTCACACATTTCATATTATCATTATTATTAGTATGGCTATTAAAGTTATTATTATTATTATTATTATTATTATTATTATTATTAGTAGTAGTAGTAGTAGTATAATTCACATTATTATTAGAACTAAGATAATCAAATAAATGTCATGTATAACACTAGTTCAAACTCTCCATGCTTGCACGTCTCTCCCCCTGCTTCTCGATTTCTTGGACAGTTGCAACAAATTCAATAGTTTTTATTTGGTTTATTTTTTAATTACAGTTAATTTTGAAAAAAAATAGTATGATTAATATTTAGTGGATATTAAAATATTATTTAATTAAAATAATTAAAGTTGATTTGATGTAAAGTAAGAGAAAAATGATTGGATGTAATGATTAGTAAAAATTATGTAAGTGGATGAATAGTGAAATAAAGTTGATGTGATGTGTAAGAATGATTGTTGTTATTATTAATTATACTAATAATACGAGAAATAGCTAAGTTGTGTTAAAGTTGAGTTAAATTTGAGCTTTGATTGGTTTTTTGACTGACGAAACCATAAACAATCGCCCCCCTAAATAATTTGCACGGCTAGCACCCTTCACCACATCTTCGCCTTGAAAACTAGTTTCTAGCGGCAAAATTAAATCCGACCATCCTTAGCAAGCCGTAGCTGTGAAGTCCAATTTCCGACCACTTCGCCGAGCGCATAGTTCCCTGCTGCAGAGAGTCCAGCCCGTAAACCGAGACCCTCCCAAAATTCACGGCTAAAACCCTATAGCTTGCGCCTAAGCAATTTGATTGAAGCCGAGTGATTCAAGTCCGCCTCCGCCTTATTCACCGGTGCCCGAAAGTCATCGAGTTGTCTTACGCCGCCCGACCGATTGTTGTACCAAAAACCCAACCATATGCAAGTTTCGCCGTCGCCGACAATGTTCGTAAGCGCCCCTATTCCCATCGATTTGGTGATGGCTTTCTAGTCGATCTATGTTTTGCCACGTTCCCGCTACATTCTATCCATTGTTCTTTCGTAATTTTGACCTCTGAAAAAGTCTTCTATTTTCATAATCTTTATGCGACTTGAGTTCAATCTCTTATCTTTTATTAGGAACAAGAATCACAAAATTATTTGTTTTATATTATAAGTTATGTCTAAAGTTTGATTGTTGCGCAATCAGTTTCTGTGTTAAATGTGGTTGTACAAGTATGTTCTTTGTTGTATCTACCCCCGTCGTCTAGCCGAACATTTTTTATGTCTCAACATAACGTGTAGGGACGTATCTTATGTTTCATTAGGCGCAAGAATCGCACGATTATTTATTTTATACTGAAAGTGATGTCCAAGTAGAGGTGGCCAGGGTCGGCTCAGAACCGGACCATATGCACGGGTCATTGAACTAAACGCTACAAACAGTCGATTCCGGCTCTTAATTTTTTTTGTTGAGACCCGTTTTTTTTCTTCTGTGAACCTGGCCACCGCGCCTGTGAACCGGCCCGTACCTACATCTAGGCCAGTTTCGAGTACCTATTTTTGCAGGTCCGGACCGGCCTCCTGCAGTCCAAAGTTTGATCCTTCCGCAATTTGTTTTCATTGTCAAATTTGGTTATACGCAGCGCAATAGATAAATTTTCAATTACCTATTATCCTGTTTTGATGACAATATCTTCTTACTCAGCGCAATAGATGTATCGTTTGAGTATTAACCAGACACAGACACTAGTACTAATACCCATGTACAACATAGGTGTTGAGTTAATGAATATATGTGTAAAGTTATTTATGTCTAATATCAAACCTAATTCTAGAGCAAAAATAATATGAAAACATCACGAAACATAAATTTTCGCCATGTCAGTATCCGAAGCGTAAGAATCTGTCACCTAGACTCAACACGTTTTGAATTAATATATAGGAAGGGATTTGCATCGTTTTCTTTATTTAATGCCAAATAATGTCATTTCTGGATTTTTATTTTTATTTTTTTAAATTCGGTGACTGCACTTCATGATTTTCAAATTTTAACCTTATTAAACAGTCATCATTTGATTAAATTTGTTGTTCAATCAGAGTATCGGGTAATATAAGATGAAAATATAATAGTTGACATGCTGAAAATAGTAAAATAACAGTGTTAGTTCAAAATATATTGGTTTATGGACTGTGTGAATTTAATAGAAAAATGTGTGGGAATAATAAAATTTTATTTCAAAAATAAAAAAAAACAACTACTAAAATTGAGGAGAAATAAATGTAAACAAGTGAATATTACCTTTTTCAGTGGAAAGTGAAAAATCTCGACTATTAAAGTGGTGTTGGACGTGAAAACCTTAGTATGACAGACAGAGTAGGGCTCCAAATAAGTCGAACATTAGTCTCATCGAGTTAGACTTAATTTTTCTCAACGCTACTCAAGCTCAAAGATTTGAGTTTGGGGCATTTCGGTAAACTCATCGAGTTTTTCTCAATGCTACTCAAGCTCAAAGAGTTGAGCTTGGGGCATTTCGGTAAATTACACTTGAGACTCGAGTGGCTCGACCAGTACTCAACCTTATAATACATAGGCTCGAATTTTGGTTTAATAACTCAAGCTCGACTCGTGCTTCGGGTGGAGCTCGAGCCTAGTTTTGACTTGAACGCTTGCAAACAGCTCACGAGCTTCTCGATTCGTTCACAACCCGAGAGCATACAAACATAGAGGTGGAGGGACATAACAAGAACTATCAAGGGTAGAAAAAATAAAATAAAAATTGCCTTGTGCAGTAAGAATAAATTCAGAAAAATAAGGCTATGCTTCATGAATGTCATCTGAAATAGTCCAACAAACAACTATTTCAACAAACAATTTACCTTAAAAAAAATTGCAGCTAACTGCACTATCTGCATCATATGATATGCTGCAGTTGGTTATTTAATTATAGCCAACCAAGAATTATATAATAATAAATCATCAATAGTTTATTATTATTATTATTATTATTATTATTATTATTATTATTATTATTATTATTATTATTATTATAA